ATGAAGAGAAAATATTTAAAGTGGTAGCTTTCTATGTATATAGTTGGGATGAGGTTGGGGGCATCCAGAAGGCTAATTTTCTAGGGGGAAAGATGACTAAATCTACATCTATTAGGATATAGACAGCCTAATAATACAATAACTATAATGAAAGCTTTTAAAAGTTATCAAAGAGTCCAGCTGGTGTGGCTCAGTTAGTTGAGTGTTGTCCTGTACACCAAGAGGTTGCAGGTTCGATTCCCGTTCAGGGCACATGCCCTGGTTTTGGGCTTGATCCCCAGTAGGGGAAGTGCAGGAGGCAGCCCAGTGATGATGTTTCTCTCTCATCAGTGCTTCTATCTCTCCCTCTTCCTATAAAACACAAAAACAAACCAATTAAAAAAAAACATATTTAAAAGTTATCAAAGAGTTAATCCCTCAACAGGAAATCTCTACCTTTAGCTAACTTTCCAGATTCTTTTGTTACATTTATTATTTCAAAATTATATATTATTGGAACCTGTGAATGCCAAATGTTGCTCCAGGGCTCAGGAAAACAAAAGGAATAGAGATGTGAGAAAATCCCAATTGTGATGGGACAGAGAAAAACACAATCGGCCTCAAACCTGAGGGGTGATTAAATGATCCTTTGGAACAAACCAGGGCAGGAGAGGTGGCCAGTGCACCTGCCTATCCACCTCTGGTCCCCACTATACCTCAGAAGCTGTGTACAAGTAACTTCAAACCTCAAACATTTGTGCAAAATGGGATTTCTAGTGTTTACGCCACAGTGCTGTTGTGGGGATTGAGTTCACGTGGCAAACCTTTAGAATAGTGCCCCATAAATAATTAACTGTGGCTACGTCCATTTAAGGAACATGAGGGAAGTTCTCTGTTCAGTAGAGGCCAGGAAAGCTTTGCTGGGAAGACAGCCTAGAATACCTGAAGGAGGGAAGGGAGATGAGATACCTGGTTGTGACCAGGGATGAGTTCCAGGAGAGAGAAGATGTGGTAGAAAACCCATCACTAGGTGAGAGCATGCTGGGCATATTCCAGAAACAACAGGAACCTGAAAGAGAGAGAGAGAGAGAGAGAGAGACAGCTGGGAAGCTCACCCTCATTAACCCAGGCGGGAACCTGGTCAGGGAAGAAGGAGCAGGCCAGCTCTCGCCCTTAGGGTGAGGCAGGGAGCTTTGGCTCATTCTTAGCAGAGAAGTGGGAGAATGTTCTGATACATGTTACCAGGTCCGATCGGGCTGCTCGATAAAGAATATACCACCGGGCACTGTGGGGAGGAGGAGGGAAGGGCTGGGACTTCAATTCGGTCTGGGCAAGAGGTGGTGCTACTGCAACCAGGGCCATATCAGGAGCTGCTCATCACATTTCCTAAGAAAAGATAAGTTCCAGGTTATTGAACTTTTTTTATATGGTTTTATTGATTTCAGAGAGGAAGGGAGAGGGAGAGATAGAAACATCAATGATAAGAGAGAATCATCTATTGGCTGCCACCTGCATGCCCCACACTGGGGATTGAGCCTGAAACCCGGGCATGTGCCCTGACCGGGAATTGAACCGTGACCTCCTGGTTCATGGGTTGGTGCTCAACCACTGAGCTACACTGGCTGGGCCAGGATCTTTAAACTTTTTTAAAGCCTAGAAGAAATTGTACATTTTCAATTTCAACTAGAAAGGCTGGTATTTGCCTGTTGTCCAGAGCTGAAATAGTGTGCCCCCTCACACACAAACTGATGGTCTCCCTTCAAAACTGAGAACCAAGTCAGACCAAATCATACATTAAATCTTAGCAGATTAGTACTAGATGTACTAAAAAAACACACCATGGCTAAAATTATGAAAAATAACAATCATGAAATGTCACAATCTCTTCTAGCACTTAATGGAAATGCAATGGACATTAGCCTTCAGAACTCCTGGATAAAATGACATAATTATAGTCAGCACTATTATTTAACATTGTTCATTGGGTTTTAGCCAAAGCAAAAGACAAGAAGAAAGAAAGGGATGGCAAGAGGGAGGGATGAGGGGGAATTGAGGGTAGGCAGGATAAAAGAGGGGGGAAACCTGAGATATAATTAAATGAAATGATTCTACTTTGTTAAAAGGGAAAATTATTTTGTCTAGACAAAAATTACCTGAAAAAGGCATTAAAAGTTTTAAGGGAGCTTAGTAAGGTGACTTGTTACAAATGAAATATAGGAAATCAATAGCTTACCTATGTAGCAACAATATTTACCTATATCCTATAAGGAAAATGATCCACCTACTATAGTAAAAGGAAACACGAAATCTCATTTAAAAGTAAAAACAAAGGTCAGTCAATATGTAGGATCTCAAATACAAAAAGGAAGGACATTACTAGTGAGTCTATTATATACAGAATACCACATGCTACATATGTCATATTTTATAACATATTGCATTCTCTAAGTTTTGTATTATAGCATTTATCATAGACTAAGCAGTATTATCTACCACAAGGATTGCAGGCAGGAAGGGAATTTGGTATAGTTAATAAACACTGTCTATGACAGTATACAATAAATACCCTGTCGGGTGAGTGAGATTAAAAGCAATTCTTTTATCATTTTTCTATATTTACTATGCACTGCTGGTGAAAAATGTTTAATGACATAGAAATTTCCAATTGCTTATCTATAACTTATATGTGTCTACATTTTATTCCTGCAGTTTCAATTTCAGAAATGTATTCTGAGGAGAAAAAGAAACCCCTAGCCATTTTTGACACCTCCTTATGCCCCGACTTGATTTACAACCAGTCATCAACTTCTGCCCAGTAAAATTCCCCTCTCCCATGCATTTCTGTTCTCCCATTTCCATTGCAATTGCCTTGGCCGAGCCCCATGATCCTCTGGCTGGGATTACTATCAGAACAGCTCCACTGCCCAGCTGCTTTCCATCAGTCCATTCTCCCCACCACATACCTGCTCGGTGCCACAGCCAATTCAAACTCACATCGACTTCTAGGAAGGTGAGAAAAACAAGTCGGTATCTACTCTGATGTCCGCTGGTGAGAAGGGATTGAGAACAGATGTTTGAGTAGCAAACCAACAGGGTCTCTTAAGGCTCTCATGAAACATCTGATCATAATTTGTACAGTCCAGACCCTGGGTCTCCAGCTTGGTGCCCTGTGGAATCACCTGGAAAGTTTAAAATATACGAGTGTCTGAACGCCACCATCAAATATTCTGATTTCAGTGATAAAAGAGAGGAGAGCAGAATGAGTTTTCAAGGCCCTAATTTGAGATTTGTCAGCAGAAGAGAAAGAATAAAAGCCTTTTGGTATGTGGTAATGCTGCAGCCCCAGATCTTCAAATCGACTTCAGCCAACATACCGACTTCAGCCAACATATCATTCACTCATCATGAATGATAGTATTACATTTTAAATTATGCTACCTTAGCCTGTCGGCTTAAAATATTTTCATTTTCTTTTCACATCAGTTTAAGGGACATGGATTGTTACATGGAATAAAACTCACTGGGGAAAAATACTCTTGGCTCCGCATAACATGAAACAATGTTCACTTATTTACAAATTATAGGATATTTAGGGAAAAAATGTTGCGAAAATCATGTTTAATATACAACCTTTCTCTGAACTCTGATGGGAGCCTAAGGTTACATTCACGTACTCCACTAAGATTTTAACAACATAACTTATTCATGCATGCTCTTGGCCATTTTCTATACTACTCCTCCCCAAAGATGAAGAAATATGAAAAAGACCTTGAAGAAGATCAAGTCATATTAGACAAAATATCTTCTGCTGCCTATGGATAGCAGCTTTAAAGTAATAACAGTGCCATGAAAGACAACAGCTACAGCAAAAATACAGAGGAGAATTTGACAAGATCCAGAATTAGCTGGTTATATTCAAATAGAAACCTGCATATAAATGGGTAATATTAAAATTCACGAGTGAGCAAGTGAATATGATGACAAGCTCACTGGAATGACAGGCGGAATGAAATGTAACCTTGTCGGTAAATAACCTGCAATAGATTTGCTCCAGGACCAGCCTGTAACAGAACATTCTATCCAGAAGGTAACATTCTCCCCACAGGAAATGGGGTTTTATGAAGAACAACATATTCTTAGCTTCCCAGAACACACAATAGCAACCTCTGTTGAAATGGCAAATTAGCTTCAGCTATGTTTATACAACTCAGCATGAATAGGAAAAAAGATACCTTTCCCAGTAGTTTAAGTCAGTAGTAGAATTTAAATACGTAACATCTCCTTCAGGAAAATAAAGCATTTTACCAAAAGTGGCAGCAACCATTGTTCAGAGACACTGAGTTACTGGGAAATGTTCTCTTGCTCTTCACTTGGCGGCCCATCCTCAGCAGGTTTAAGAAGACGCTCTGTCCAACCTTGGTTGGTGCCAATGTAACAAATAACAGTGCGGCTCAACGGTAGCCCTTACATGCATTCCGCTCTGGTCTTTAGGAAGTTGAACCAGACACCTGAGCAAGTTCCTCTGCCTGGGGGAGTAATTAGGGCAGTGATGGCGAACCTATGACACACGTGTCAGAGGTGACACGCGAACTCATTTTTTTGGTTGATTTTTCTTTGTTAAATGGCATTTAAATATAGAAAGTAAATATCAAAAATATAAGTCTTTGTTTTACTATGGTTGCAAATATCAAAAAAATTTCTATATGTGACACGGCACCAGAGTTAAGTTAGGGTTTTTCAAAATGCTGACACGCTGAGCTCAAAAGGTTCGCCATCACTGAATTAGGGTTTAACCTGAGCTACAGCACCAGGCTCTCTGAAGGGTGGGACTAGAAGGACACCTTATCGAGGCTCAGAAGCAAAGAGTGCCCCACTGAACAATGATGCCTGCCCCAGCCAAGGAAGATCAAGTACACTTCTCTAGATTTGCTATCCTTCAATTATTTGGACCTTTGGTTTCTTGGACACTGGATTTCCTTCTGAACCTTTATTCTTGTTAGGTCGCCGAAGGAGGAACGCAGGAGGCCAGAGTGGTGAGGGATTACGAATATATTTGATCATCTCCACATCAGGTGGCTGAGCCTGGATGGCTCCAGCACCCAGTCACAGGAGTTAGCGGCTTTTAAACGACTTTTGGCAGGCTTTTTCCTGGGCGGAGACTTCCTTATGCATACCCGGAGGGGAGAGAATAGAATATGGTCACCACAAGTGAAATGTGGTCAAAGGGAATGTCCATAGTGAATTGACCTGGAAAGCCAGTTCCCAGGGGAGGGGTATCAATGTTAGGTTTGATCCTTCAAACCTAACATTCCAGCCTTTTTGTTTTAAAGAATAGGGACGAAGGTGATATCTTCTGCAATTACATCCTGCTGAGTCTATATGTCGAGATCACAGGGGGTTGGCCTTTGACTGTAGTCAGCTGGAATGTTGTATAGGTTCCTTCTGGTTGGAGCTAGCAGTTTTAGTAGCATGATCTCTCTGAGAGACTGGTTGGTGAAGGCTTGAAAGGAGTCTTGGAGGAAAGATGAGAAATGGCACAGCATACACGGGCCAAAACCAAGGATGAGGAATAGAAATGTGTGTGGTCCTATGAAGGGAAATAGCCAGGTATACCAATTTATATTCTTTAACCAGTAATCCCATGAATTTGATTGCTGTTCCCTGATCTTTGCGGCCTTCTCTGTTAGTTTTTGGGCAGCATCCCTGACTAGGCCAGACTGACATAAAAACATCCTCTTCCTCCAGAAAGAGGCATCCGCTCCCTTTTTCTGCTGGTAGGAGATCTAGTCCTCTTCTGTTCTGGTGGGTGACAGCCGCTAGTGAATCTATCTAATCCTGAATTTGAACTAAACCTTTGGCAATGTCATCTAGGCTTTCTTGTAAGTCCTGAGACAGGATTTCAAAATATGTTAGAGCAGGGGTAAGGCCCCCAAGCTAGTTCCAACCGCTGCTATGATGCCAGGGTTATGAGGAGAGGGATTATCTGGACTGCCCTTTTGCGTCGGATATGGTGGGTTACAAGGACAGGCAAAGACTGATTGTTGGGGGCCACACCTACATTGGGTGAGAGATAGACGAGAGTACAGGTCTCTGTTCAGTTGGTGGGGGGACAGGTGTATGTGTTCTCCCCACAGAGAAAGAAGAATCCCTGATCATGGGATCAAGCTGATAGGTATAAGGAGAAGAGGTGGAGTAAAGGGTATGAGGTTCCTCTTTCCGGCTCCACACTCCAAACTGAGAGAGTGGTTGCCCATGGTGCTACCAATAAGGGGTGACATGTGAGTTGTTGAGATTCTATTGCAGTGAAAGTGGGAGGGAACACTAGGGTGGTGGGCTGTTATCCAAGAAAAAAGTGAAAGGGAAGGAAAGGAGCAGTTAAAGCCTTAGGTCTGGATGGTTGGATAAGAAGTAAAACACATTGGCTGTAGAAAAAGACCATTAGCTTCCAGGAGACTTGGTAGTCAACCCATTGGGACCAATGGGTATCCAGTAGTTCTAGTTTGACTGTAGTGTTGCAAGCTGATGGTGGGAGGAGGCCTACTGATATATTACCCTGTGATCTTGTAAAGCATAAAGGGGCTTGGGAGATTGGGGGGGTGTGTAGACTGATAGGACCTGTGACCAAGAGGGAGAAAGAAGCTACCTTAGTAAGAGATAGAATATAGGTGCTGAAGAGAAGGGAGGTTTGGTTTGCCTGGGCTGTAGGATAATTACCTAGTAGTGTGTCTGCTTTTTCAGAAAATATAGTCCCCTTTTCCTTTATATAAGCTAGAGTGATTTTGGCCTGATTCCACCTATTGATTGGTATAGGGATGTTGGTGTATGCTGAAGAGGAGAGGGAAAGGCAGAACCAGCAATCCCTGGCTAAGGCTGGATTGGTCTGATTTAAGAGGGAATGGGTGAGGTTAAGTGTTCGTTCTAGATGAGTGGAAGTGAGAAAGTTCCTTATGGGTATAGGAGAGGAGGGTTGGAATAGGATGAGAAGGAGAGCTAATCCCCACTTCCAAGGTCGAGGTCATCCCAAGGGGGTTTGTTTGGGATCTAGGAAGAAGGAAATTTCTTCCCATGGGTAATTGAAGTCCCCTAATAGAAGGGAGTCCCATAGAAAGGTGAGAATACTGATGAAAAGTGAGAGAGAGGCAGTAGCTAGGACCTGGAGGATTTGTATTGAGAGCGGAGGTGGGCTTTCAGGGAGGTCAGGGCTACTGAGGTCAGTGCACAGAGGGCACGTACAAGGTTGCTTGCTCACTCACTCGTCCTCTTCTTCTGGGATGTGGGTAAGGCGGAGTCTGGTGGGCCCAACCTGATGGCTGTGACACTTAGGGGACTGCAGCCCACGTGATGGAGGTGCTCCAGGAACAGGTTTCAATCTGGAAAGGTGGAAGCAAGAGGTGTGCCCAGATAGTGTAGCTGCAGTTGGGTGGTTAGGAGTACCTGATAAGGGCCTTGCCATTGGGGTTGTAAATTACTTGACAGATGGACTTCTTTTAGGAGGACCCAGTCCCCTGGCTGTAGGGGAGTAGGGGGAATGTCTCCTGTAAAAGGTTGAGGGAGGACCTGATCAGCATGTTCTCTCAGTAACTGTCATATTAGGTTTAGAATGAGGACATAGACTCCTAGAGGGGTTTCTGTGGAAGGGAAGTTTTCTAATAAGAAGGATCTTCCATACATGAGTTCAAAGGGGCTGAGAAAGGAGGGTGCACGGGGGGTTGCCCTGATGCACATAAGGGCTAGAGGTAAAAGAGTAGTCCAAGGTTCTTTGATTTGGAGAGTTAGTTTAGTTAGGTGGGACTTAATTAAGGAGTTTGTCTTTTCTACCTTGCCTGAAGATTGGGACCGGCAGGGGTGTGTAAGTTCCACTGGATGTTCAGAGTGGAGGAGACCAGTTGAGTTATTTGAGATATGAAAGCAGGTCCATTATCTGACTGTAATGAGGTGGGTAGGCCAAATCTGGGAATGAAATGCTGAATGAGGGCTTGTGTGACTTCAGAGGCCTTTTCAGACGTGGTGGGGAATGCTGCTACCCAGCCTGAGAAGGCCTCTACAAGGGTTAAGAGATATTTGGTTCTTTTAATGGAGGGCATGTGAGTGAAGTCAATCTGCCAGTCGTTTCCGGGGATTTGGCCTCCAGCCTGATGAGTGGGGGAAGATG